TATAATATAAGTTATTTGCAACCTGTTATAAATGTGTTCCTAACTTATTATAGCCTAGTTCCTAAACTTAACCTAGCTCTAAACCTATCTCTAACTTAAAGGTTTCTATTCTATTAAAGAAATGCATATTAGCTTTATAAATAAAGATAAAATCTTACGTATTATAAAGCGTGAAAAGCTTCTATAGTTCCTATTTAAGAGTAGCCTTAGAGGAGTACACTATAAGTAGAGGACAAAGTATTAGGATCCTAAAACTGTACGTGGTATAAGAGAACAGGTTTAGAACACGTTGCTAACACGTTACTATAGGCGTATATATAGCAAATCTTTATATTAAGCTTAGGTAACTTAATTATTTGCCTTTTTAAAGAGCAGGCATTAATTCTATTAGATTAAGACACATTCTAGATAGATATGTTATATAAGAGGTTATATAAGGCATAGGTAGAGATTCTAATAGTAATCTTCTACCTGCAGGAAAAGAAGCGTACGTATTAAGAATAGGTTTATAATATGTTTCTAACATATTACAGTTATTACACTTGGCTAAATTATTATAGATAAGGACACAACTAAGATATATTAAGTTACTATTACTAACTTCTTTTAGAAGTGTAAAGCACTTATAAAAAGATAAGTATTATAGAGGTATATTTACTTATAGGGATTCTATAGGACTACTATTAATATGTGTAATAAGTAGATAATAGGCAAGTTTTATAGCGTACTGTAACATGTTTGTAACGTGTTTCTAACTTGTTTCTAGGACTTAGGCGCTATCTCTAGTTAATTAATCCCTATAAGCGTAACTAGCGCTAGTAACTTTAATCTTATATAAGATTTTGTTAAGTATATCTATAAAGAAGTATTTATAAAGTATGTAAAAGAGAGCTAGATAATACTACCTCTTTACGTCTAAGTGAATTACTATAGGCATTAATAGCAGAGGAATACTTTTAGCTTGCTAACCTCCTCTTACATAAGTAAATATATTCTAAACCTGTTCTAAACGTGTTCCTAACTTGTTCTTATATAATTAGAACACAAACCCTCTAAAGATGCCTAAAACTAGGTAATCTATAAGAAAAACCTAGTAATTGCTGCTAGGATTGTGTAATACTGTAGTAAAATGTTAAAAGAGGTATAGGAAAAACTAGAATCTTATTTAAATATAGCTAAGCAAGCAGGCTAGAAAGGATATAAAACTAGTAAGCATATAAGTATTCTTAAGGCTACTTAGAAGTAAGTTTATAACCTATTCTTAACCTGTTAGAATTGTATAAGTAATATTGTGTAGTGCACACTAGATAGATCTGTAGGATATAAAAGAGTTTAAAGCCTAGAGCAAGTTTAGAATACGCTATAACTATAGAACTCCTAATAGGCTTAAGTAAAGGTACCTTAAAAAGCTTTAGAGGGGAGAAAGTAAGTCTTACGCTAGTGTTATGCACATTCGCTAATTAAAACGTGTTTAGAACATGTTTAGAACGTATCCTATAATAATAATAATACTCTAGATAATAATAAAGCAAGTCTTGCTATATCTAACTTAACTAGATATATCTTAGTCCTAATAAGAAATAAAAGAGCACGCTTAAAAGCCTAAAGCTAGAGGGCAAGTAGTAGAGTGGTATTAGAAAGAAGTTTACTAGCCCCTTTTCTATCTTCTTTACTACTAGGCTCTTCTCCTTTACTAATAGTAACCTAAAGGTATGCTTCGCAAAACATGTTTATAATATATTCCTAACTTATTATTAGTCTATAACTACAAACTTTGTAATAAAAGGCTCTTCTTAGTAATTAGGCTCTAAAGGAGAGAAAAGAAAAGCTAGAGGTAGATAAGGAAGAACTTGCATAGAAAAAGGCACTATTTAAATTATAAAAAGTACAGTTTAAACTTAAGAAAGAGATAGCTACTTTTTATATAAGGTAGGGTTAGTCTATAAATATAGTAACTAGTTCCTAACTAGTTCTTAATATATTCTAGTCTATTATATAAGCATATATAAGTAGATAAATATATATTCTTTCTTCTTCTCTTTCTTCTTCTTTCTTCTTACACTCTACAAGAACTTTTTATATTTAAGAGTTTAATACTATTTTACTATCTATCTTTCCTAATATTATTAGATATAACTAGTTAATATAGTCTATAAAGATCTTTTAAAGTTAGTATATAATAGAACGCGTTAGGAACACGTTGTAAACTTATTCTAACACTAAGTAGGATTTATACTAGTAATATATTAAGCTTAAGTTACTTCTATCTAATACTAGGGTATTCTCTCCTACAATATCCTACCTAAATAATAGGTGTATAGTATTTCCTAGCGAGCTTTTCTACTAGGCTATTTAGGCTAGATTAGGGGTACAGGAACTTTGTAGAGTATATATATATGTAAGTTAGAACACGTTTATAATATATTAATAACTATTTTAGTGTTGCTTCTCTAATAGAGGTAATCTTATCTACTACCTTAAGAGGTATTATCCTAAGGTTTAAATAGCCCTAGTAAACTATAGCAGAACCATAATACAAGGCATTACAGAAGCAAGGATCTTCTATAGGAGCTTAATAGTAAATGCTTAAGAACGTGTTCTAAACACGTTAATAATACGTTCTCTGCTAGTAGAGTAGACTGCACTAAGTGCCTCCTCTAAGGTTTAAGAACCCTCTAAGATAGCTAGTCTATAATAAGAAGTGGTAGCTAGAGTAGAGGCTAAAGAGGAAGTAGAGAGTAAAGAAGAGGAGTAAATAGTTGCTCCCCTTTACACTATAAATAATATTTAGTAAAAGTAGCAAAAAGGAGATATAAGTCTAGTCTCTTAAAACACGTTTAGAATATATTAATAATACGTTATAGCTAGACACCTATAAATGCTAGATTCTTCTTTAATCTAAGGGACTACTAGAGCTTTATAATACCTATAAAAGTTAAAAGAAAAAGTTATATACTATTAAAGGACCCTATAAAAGTAAATAGTACTTTACTTTTAGTAGATAGAAAAAAAAAGAGAAGAGTAGAGAGTTTATTTTAGTAATTACTACTACCCCTTTAGGTTATATACTATTATATATTGTTTATTAGAACCTATTCTTAACACGTTCTTAATATGTTCCTACTTATTACTATTATTATCTCCCTCCCCCTCTCTAGTATCTTCTCTATCCTCCCTATCCTCCCTAGACTCTATAAAAGCATACTATAAGTGGAACTAGGCAGTATTCTAGTAGGAATTAGTAAGGTCTACACTAGTATTAAAGTAATAGTCTTAAAATATATTAGGAATAGGTTAATAATATATTATAAATAACTTACTATAGCTAGGATAATTACAAGCGCAGATAGTATAAGGAACCTAATAACCTTAAATCCTTAGTAGGGTAGATATAGTAATAAAGTTAAGCTATAATAAGTTAGTAACGTGTTTTTAATAGGTTCTTATAGGCTATACCTTATTACTATTATAGCTACTGTAAGTCTTCTTCTAAATTATATTTAGGAGGGTATTAGTATTTACAGGGGGGCCTATAGTAGCTACTAGCTAGGCTTAGAGAACTTCTATAAAACACGTTAGTAACAAGTTTTAAATATATTCTAAATAACTTATAGCAAGGAGTGTTCTAGTAATTATATATAACCTTTATATAGAAGTCTATATATATTAGTATAACAAGTTAAGAATAGGTTAATAATATATTTACTCTTTACCTTATAGACCTCTATTATAGAGGGCTAGCTAGTCTTCTTAACCCTACTAACCTTATAGTAGGCTATATTAAGCCTATAATCTTTTTTAGTATAGGTACATAGAGTGCCCCTAGTACCTAGAATAGCCTAAGAATATTAGAACCTATTTAGAATACGTTTAGAACCTGTTCTTACTCTATATAAGGTACCCTTATTATTAATCTTAGTATAGTAGTAGCGCTCTCTACTCTCTATCTTAACTACCCTATTAGGGCTAACTATAGGCTATACCCTAATATTATCTAGGATATAGCTAAGGGCAAGGTACTATTAATAGTGCTTCTATAACCTATTAAGAACACGTTCTAAACACGTTTTAATCTGCTTACGTAGGATAAGAGGGATACATTAGTAATAGGTATAGTAGCAGTAGCTTGTGGTATTACTAGTATAGAATATATTTAGAATAGGTTTAGAACGCGTTGTAAAATCTTATAGTATAATATTTAGTTAACCTTACTTAGCTAGCTAGTAGAGCTTGGCATAGCCTAACCCTATGCTAAATACAAGTTTACGCAGCGCTAATTCTATGGTTATATGAACTGCGCCCTCCACGTCCGAAAGCCGCGTCGCTTGTGGCGTGGCCAGTGTTGGGTTGAAGTCATGCGAGCTGGGATGTGCTGCTGGGCCACGAACTGCCCAGCAATGCTGACGGAAGCATGTATGGCTTGATTGTACAATGATTATCTCGTGATCCACTTGGGCTAGCACTTCCTCTGTCTCTGCATGGACATCATCTGCTGCTATGTAGCATCATTCATACTGTTAGACTTGAACGGCATGGTGTTTCGGCGCGATACTAGTCGTAGTAGCTCTTACAATGACACCAACAACAATGCCAAAGTTGGAACTAGAAGTTTGGTCCGCTGCTAAGGAGACAGCCTCGTTGCGATGACACTTAAGCCGTCGGCCTCCGTATCCTCGCTCAACAGAATGTATGTAGTCATTCAATGTCCGTCAGAGCGCCACTTCATCTAATGTCCGTCAGAGCGCCACTTCATCTGCTAGTGCTCCAGCCTCGAGACTTGGATCAGTTGTTTACATGTTCTATTGTTTTGAAACAATTGCGGCCTCTTGTGCAATTTCAGCAGGTCAGAGGTGGAGACGGCAAAGACGATCTCAATCCACGGCGGCTGACCGTTGGGCTGTGGGCCTTGGTATGCGTAAGCTTGATCTGCACTTACTTGATCGCTGATTGCTGCCTTATTGCTATCCGATCTCGTCATTGCAAGCGACTAGACTTTGTATTTAGCCAGCAGGAAGTATTTCCAAGGCTTTGCCACGCCAGTGGTGGCAGTGGAGGGAAGCACCGCGGAACGTGGGTAGGTACTTAGAGTGCAACAGGACTTTAGACTGTGAGGGAGCCTCGTCTGTGCCTGAAAGCGGGGAATGACATGGAGGTACTGTGTAATGAGAAGTATTGAGTGCATTCGCTGCGAGAGTCTAAATCCCCATACTCTACTTACTGCACTTGAGCATGTTGATTCCATTCTACCTGTTTGGCAACCTGGAAGATACCTTGGAAGCGTGCGGAGGAGGACACGGTGACACGCTAGGGCGAACTGGGATGCGTGACTAAGCCCAACGCGCTAGCACGTGACTGCCAAGTGTTGCATCTCCATCTGGAAACTTTGAGCTCCATGAGCCACCGTCCCCTCACTCACCCCCTCGTCAACCTCACCTGAATATCGCCCTGCAGCACAATGGCCGGACCGCGCGCAGGAAAGAAGTCTCAGGCCAATGGCTCTGCCGACGGAAATTCGTCGAGCAAAGTCTCACTCAGCGAGGCGTTCGACAAGGACCTCTACAGCGGAAACGGCGCCGACAAGTTCAACGGCTACGACACCTCCATCGCGGTTGCCGATCAAGATGACGATATGGAGGATGTGCAACTCAACGGCAGAAGCCTGGTGGGCCAATACACAGCCTCTAGGGAGATGCTCAACGAGTTCAGCCACGGCGACGCTGCTGAGGCCGACATCCTCGACAGCCGCGAGAAACAGGCGCAGATTGCCTCGCGCGAAACCGATTATCAACGACGGCGATTCGACCGCGCGCTGTCTCCCTCACGCGCCGACCCCTTCGCGAAGGACGGCGAGGACAGCGGCCAGACGTACAAGGATGTCATGAAGCACCGTGAGTTTGAGCGCGAGGAAGCGCGTGTGCAGCGCATGATTGAAGAGAAGGAAAAGTCTGGCGGGAACCAAGTGCTTGACCACAATCCCACGCTCAAGGACGATGCGCCAGCAGTCAATGGCGACAAGACACCTCCAATGGAGAAGAAGCGCAAGAGGAGACGATGGGGCGAGGTCACCGATGAGGCCCCTGCCCCTGCGGTGAAAGAGGATGTCAAGGAAGAGGCTGAAAGCAGCAGCAAGCGCTCGCGGTGGAGCGAGCCAGAGCCAGAGCCCGAGAAGCCCGCCGAAGATGCTGCACCAGTGCGATCGCGCTGGGACACAACCGCAGTAGTACCCGCCAGTGCTACTCCTGCTGCACCTGCTGCAAATGGTGCCCACCCCTTCATGCCACCGACTTTCGCTTTTGGGACAGACATCTCCAGCCGCAACGCGCCCCTTTCTGACGAGCAGCTCGACATGATGCTCCCTGGTGAAGCTGAGGGTTACAAAGTCTTGGAGGCGCCCCCTGGCTACGAACCTGTACGGCGACCTGTAGGCATGCCAGTTCTTCCTACTGGATACCAAGGCTTCTTGCTTCCCGAGGCCGACAACAGCTTGGCTGCAATGGGCAAGCAGCTACCTACCGAAATCCCGGGTGTCGGCGATCTACAATTCTTTAAAAACGAAGACATGAAGTACTTCGGCAAGCTCACAGACGGTGCGGATGAGAACGAGATGACAGTGGAGGAGCTCAAGGAGCGGAAAATCATGCGTCTCTTGTTGAAGGTCAAGAACGGAACACCACCCATGCGAAAGACTGCGCTTCGACAGTTGACAGACAATGCCCGTCAATTCGGTGCTGGAGCACTCTTCAACCAAATCCTACCACTCCTCATGGAGCGCACTCTAGAGGATCAGGAGCGCCACTTGCTCGTCAAGGTCATTGACCGTGTACTTTACAAGCTCGATGACTTGGTACGACCCTACGTTCACAAGATTTTGGTTGTCATTGAACCTCTTCTCATCGACCAAGACTATTATGCGCGCGTTGAAGGTCGCGAGATTATCTCGAACCTGGCAAAGGCTGCTGGTCTTGCACACATGATCAGTACTATGCGTCCCGATCTTGACCATCAAGACGAATATGTCCGAAACACAACGGCCCGAGCGTTTGCTGTTGTGGCATCCGCTCTCGGTATTCCAGCACTTCTTCCCTTCCTACGAGCTGTTTGCAGATCCAAAAAGTCGTGGCACGCGCGTCACACTGGTGTGAAGATTGTACAGCAGATCCCGATCCTGATGGGTTGCGCTATTCTTCCCCATTTGAAGGGACTAGTTGATTGTATTGGCGAGAACTTAAACGATGAACAACCAAAAGTTCGCATGGTCACAGCGCTTGCTCTCGCCGCTTTGGCCGAAGCTGCAAGTCCTTATGGTATCGAATCATTCGACGACATTCTCAACCCCCTCTGGACCGGAGCGCGCCGCCAGCGCGGTAAGGCACTCGCATCCTTCCTCAAGGCTGTTGGTTATGTCATCCCGCTCATGGACGAGGAGTACTCCAACTACTATACAAGCCAAATTATGGAGATCGTCATCCGAGAATTCCAGTCGCCCGACGAGGAGATGAAGAAGGTCGTTCTCAAGGTGGTGTCGCAGTGCTCAAATACAGCCGGTGTCACACCTGTCTACCTTAAGGACAACGTCCTACCAGAGTTCTTCAAACATTTCTGGGTACGGCGGATGGCTCTTGACAAGCGCAACTACCGACAGGTGGTTGACACCACTGTGGATCTGGCGCAGAAAGCTGGGGTTGCGGAAGTCGTAGGCCGGATTGTTAACAACATGAAGGACGAAAACGAAGCCTACCGGAAAATGACAGTGGAGACCGTCGACAAAATTATCAGCACTCTTGGTGCTCATGACGTGGACCAGCGGTTAGAAGAACAGCTTATCGACGGCGTGCTTGTTGCATTCCAAGACCAGACCGTCGAGGACCCGATTGTAATTGATGGTTTTGCAACCGTTGTGAATGCTCTTGGGGAGCGTACAAAGACATACCTACCACAAATTGTCGCCACCGTTCTCGCACGGCTCAATAATAAATCTGCCACCGTTCGACAGCAAGCTGCAGACTTGATCTCGCGAATCACGTTTGTAATGCAGAAGTGCGACGAAGATCCCCAGCTTATCAAGCTTGCGCAGGCGTTGTATGAATACCTCGGTGAAGAATATCCTGAGGTTCTCGGTTCTATTCTAGGCGCCCTTCGCGCCATTGTCACTGTCGTCGGTTTACACGCCATGCAACCGCCCATCAAGGATTTGCTACCCCGTTTGACGCCAATTCTGCGCAACCGACACGAGAAAGTGCAAGAGAACACCATTGATTTGGTTGGTCGTATTGCTGATCGAGGAGCCAACTATGTCAACCCTCGAGAATGGATGCGCATCTGCTTCGAACTCCTGGATATGCTCAAAGCGCACAAGAAGGGTATTCGACGTGCTGCCAACAACACTTTCGGTTACATTGCAAAAGCTATTGGTCCTCAGGACGTGCTGGCCACTCTTCTAGGTAATCTTCGCGTTCAAGAGCGTCAGTCCCGTGTCTGTACAGCAGTCGCTATCGGCATTGTGGCAGAGACGTGTGCGCCCTTCACCGTCCTACCTGCCCTGATGAATGAGTACCGTGTTCCTGAGCTCAACGTTCAGAACGGTGTTCTGAAGTCGCTTTCATTCATGTTCGAGTATATCGGTGAGATGGCGAAAGATTACGTCTATGCCATCACACCTTTACTTGAAGACGCCCTCATCGATCGTGATCAAGTGCATCGTCAGACTGCTGCCTCGGTCGTCAAGCATGTCGCCCTAGGCTGTGTTGGCTTGGACTGCGAAGACGCCATGATTCATCTACTCAATCTACTCTGGCCAAACTTGTTCGAGACTAGTCCTCACGTTATCGATCGCATCGTCGAGGCCATTGAAGGCGTCCGCATGGCGGTCGGTACCCCGCTTGTCATGAACTACGTCTGGGCCGGTCTCTTCCACCCTGCTCGCAAAGTTCGACAACCATACTGGCGCATATACAACGATGCATACGTACAGAATGCAGACGCTATGGTCCCCGCATTCCCTGTGTTCGAGGACGAGACGGTCAGGAGACACGAGCTGGATATCTTTATCTAGGTAAGAGCCCTCCTGGCCTTTCTCATTTCTCATCTGCATCTTTTTCTGGGCATGTCAGAATTTGTGTCTGTAATTTTTATATCCAAGCATGGAAGGGAGTTTGCGGGTTGTTTCAAGACTGAATTGCGTGGGATGAGGGGGAAATGGTTTTTTCATGGTCTTCGTCGAGCAGTCTTGTAACAAGGAGACGCCGAAGGAGGAGTGCGGGTGTGACAGTCCGCCTGCAGGTGGTTGAGTCAGGGTAATTGAGAATGTTTGGCAACTACTTTGTCGTGCTGATCCTATACAGTGCTCTTATGATGTTTGTCCATCCCATGTATGCCATCAGCCTTTGCTTTGGTCTTGTTGAACGGTAAGTGTCCGCTTGTATGTGTCCTGTGTGCTGGGCTTTCTCAAAGTCTACTGAACCTTGCAGGTGACAGAGAAGGGTGAGTAGGGTATTTGAATCAGATCAGCGTGACTTGAAACATTAAGAGCGAAACGCTTCTATGATAACCCAGGAACCCCGCCAATATCTTTGAACTTTTGTCACACTGAGGTGGTTCTTCCTGCAGGCGAAGCGGCGTGCACAGGTTTGGTATATACTGGAATATTCTTGTTTGCGAAATCTGAGTGAATGGTGAGCCCCTCGTCACTACTCTTGCGTGGGCATATCTATAGGCTTATCACCGAGTGTGATCTTGATGGATAATCATTGACTACCACTGCATGAAGCAAATCGGGGAGATCTATAACGAGACCTACTTGGCCTAATGTCACAAGTTCTCATCGAACTTTTCGAGATATGCCTTGTTCCATTTAGAACATGCATCTAGCTTAGGCACGTGCGGCAACACTCACAGCCACTAAGCTTTCTATAACTACTATTGTCCTGCTTGGCCCTGTGTTGTGTTATGCCTTGTATCGCTTTCTCTATAATTCAAGTATAAAACTGACTCACCTGCAACACGAAGAGCGGGGATAAGCAAGAGTAGAAGCTGGAACAGAATAAAACAGTACATACAGAATCGTTCTCTACATCTACGTGCATCCGTCTTCCCAACTTGCAAATTGTTCAACGTCGCACACAAAGCTTAATATCATACCATAATCAACTCTACCAGGGTAGACATTACCACCCTCTTCCCTCCTCTAAAACGACAACGGCTAACGTACCAACTGATACTCACACACTCCTCCTTCACTGTTGCGCTTTCACATGCAACCAAAACAGCATCTTCACCTCTCACCTCTCACTGGTAGCGCAATGACTGGTTAGATCTTCTTGTACATGCCAAACACCCACATTATCCCTGCTTACAGCACCATGTCATTATACACTACCACAACATCTACACTTTCAACACAGTGAGGTGAAAGGCACTATTTGCTTCTCCCAATTGTTCACCATTCACACACCCCACAGATAAATATTTACTATAATCCACACTCCTATAAAGAAACCTTCTTAATACAGTATCTACAGTATAGGCAATAGTAAAGGAGAACATTTGCTTGCAGGATTTGCTCCTCTCCCTTTTCTTCACTCTACGAGGAAAAAATATATAGCAATCTACAACCTGATTCGAAAACTTCGTAATGAAGTAATTCAAACATAGCAGATAGCAAGGTGAAGAGAAGAGTGCTATTTGCTCACTTGCCTAGAGGAGACGTTGCTTAATCCCTTGCTCCTCTTCCTACAGAATATAATTCACAGCAATCTACACACTAAATTAGAAAACTTCTTAATGTAGTAATATAAACAAAACGCAGTTAACTAAACCACTTGCTTACCCTACAACTTATTCCTTTATCCCTTTTCTTCACCCACACAGAGAATAATTCACAGCTATCCACACTCTACTATAAAACCTTCCTAAAGCAGTAACCTAAAATTGTAGTAAGAGTGAAGGGCACCATGTCTGAATATATCCTATTCCTTCACCACACAGGTAATAATCTACAGCAATCCACTCTCTACCACATAACCTTCCTAATACAGTAACTTACACGTTGTGTGGTGAATAGGCCCCTTCCTGATATAGTAATTTCAATCTAGTATAGTGAATAAAGCCGTTTGCTCGCCCTAGCAGAGTATCCCTATCCCTATTCTCCACCACACAGATAATAAATTAATAGTAATCCACACCCTGCAACTGAACTTTCCCAATGCGGCTGTTTGAGCATGGTGAGATGATGGCGAGTTTTTGTAGGAGAGATTTGTGGGAGTAGTAAGACCAGGGAAGGGAGGTTTTGGTGGTGAGATAGAGTTTGTAGGTAAGGGAGAAGAGATGGAGGGGAAGGGAGGGTATTGCTTGCTGTGAAATAAGGATAGTATAATATAGATCGTGGTAGTGCTATATTGTCTATGTGAGAAGCAGTGGTATTAGTGCTGCGAAATCTATCTGGCCCTTGATTATGCCAAGAAACTTGTAGAAGGAGCTGCATGTTATACATCTCTAGGCAATTTCGCGCATAAAATAGGGCTACATATAAGCACACGACCTTTTTTTATCTAGTATACACACCTTTGAAGGCAAAGTTTGCCACATGGCCAGTGAAACAGGGTCTTAAAGTAAACTTTAGAACAGTTACTACATGTCTACAACATGAATGCTTTACACCTGTGGCCATTCCACCGTCCCCCTACCTTACCAACTAGAGCGCTAAAGTCCACTCTACTCCAACTTCAAGCTCTGAAATTGCTGGATACTCGCCTCCCAATTCCTTGCCTCAAGTTCCGCAGCCCTAAGCCTTTCCCTCTCATACTCCTTGACAACGGCACTGACCTTGTTCTGCCATTCGTCATCCATGAGCTTCTTCTGCTTTGTGATAGTCTCATTGGCTTTTGACAACCTCTCTTGAGCCTTGGTGATTTCCTTCTCAATCTCAATGCGGCCTTTGACGTCGAGGTACGCAGTTGCGGAGGAACCGATGGTATAGACTGCACAGCCAGTTGGTGCGGCATCAGCGGGGGAAAGGATCTTGATCTCTGACACAGTCTTCCCGGCAAGGGAACGGATAGAGGGAAGGGAAGTGGGTGAGGAGAGAGCCGAGTGTGTGGTGTCATCGAGAGATTTGATGTAGGTAGCTGCGTCCTCTTTGATCGAGTATTCACTTGTTAATGAACGCAGAGCCTTTGCACTGTCCACAAGCAACTCATACTCGGCATCGGCTGCCTTGTCCTCAAATTCTGGGTTGTATTGAGGGAACGAAGCAATGGTGATGGAAGGGGTCTTATCGCCTTCCCTGCGTGGCAGCCGCTGCCACAGTTCTTCGGTCAGGAAGGGCATGAAGGGATGGATCATAGTCAGTCCTCCCTCGATAGCAGTGTAGAGTGTCTGTTTCGCGCTCTCCTTCTCTGCTTCAGTGCCCTCATCGAAGATTGCTTTGCTGTTCTCGATATATGTGTCGCAGAGTGACTGTGATTTGGTTAGTACAATTGCCACATACATTGATACCTAATGGCTTACTTCATAGAAGAATCTGTAGGCAACTTGGGTAGCAAGCGAGAATTCGCGTGCCTCCAAGTGCTCGTTGATCTTCTTGGCAGAGGTTGTGAGCTTGTGCAGGATCCATCGCTCAGGCAGAGTCTCATTTCCGGTCTTGGTGATGGTGGCACGTGGAGTGAAGTCCCCAAGGCGTCCCAGAACATATTTTGTCGCCTGATAGATCTTGTTACAGAATCTACGATAGCCATGAATAACGTTGACGTCAAACGAAATATCACCTCCCCCAGTAGTGTAGCCGATGAGAGCCATACGCAGAGCGTCAGCGCCGCACTCAGGAATACCTTGTGGGAAGGCCGTCTTCTGGTATTTCTCGGCTGTCTTCAACTCCTTAGGGTCTAAATTACCGGCAGTAAGCTGATCGTGTAGCTTTTGCAGGGTGATACCGTCCATGATATCAACAGGATCAACGACATTGCCAAGCGACTTGGACATTTTCCTACCCTCGGAGTCTCGAATGAGGGAGTGACAAAAGACTTCGTTGAATGGAACCTTGCCTGTCAAATGCAGCGACATCATGATCATCCTGGCAACCCAGAAGGGTAAAATATCCCACCCTGTCTCCAAAACAGACGTAGGGAAGAGTTTCTCCAAGTCGTGCGTCTGTTTAGGCCAGCCAAGTGTGCTGAAAGGCCATAATCCAGAGGAGAACCAAGTATCCAGCACGTCTTCGTCGCGCTCCAACGTGAACTTCTTGCCAGGGAATTCCTTTGCAGCCTTTTGATGTGCCTCTTCTTCGGTACGGCCAGTGACCCACTTCTCATTGTCACTTGAGTGAGCCTCGCCCTCAAATTTGACCAAGTAGGCAGGAATCTGATGACCCCACCAGAGTTGTCGAGACAAACACCAATCCTGAATATTCCTCATCCAGTGGCTGAAAGTCTTTTCAGAGCTGGAGGGACGGATCTTGATGTCACCCTTCTGGACAGCCTCGAGTGCCGCGTCAGCAAGGCCCTTCATCTTCATCCACCATTGAGGCTTCATGATAGGCTCGATAACGTCGCCTGATCTTGAGCAGATAGGAACCTTCATAGCGTTGTCTTCTTTCTTGACGAAAAGGCCCTCCTTCTCCAGCGCCTCTACGACAGTATAGCGAACGTCGAACCGCTTCTGTCCCTCGAACTTCCCAGCATTCTTGTTCATCGTACCGTTGTCGTTCAAGATGTTAATAAACTGGAGATTGTGCCTCTTTCCAAGATTGAAATCGTTCGGGTCGTGCGCCGGAGTAAGTTTGACAGCACCAGTACCAAACTCTGGATCAACGTAGTCATCCGCAACAATGGGCATCAAGCGATCGACAAAGGGATGTCTTGCCTTCTTGCCGACCAAGTGCTTGTAGCGTTCGTCATTGGGGTGTACAGCAATTCCAGAGTCGCCCAGCATGGTCTCTGGACGTGTGGTAGCGACCTGAATGAACTGGTCGGTACCGTCGATGGCGTACTTAAAGTGCGTCAAGACACCAAACTCGACCTTGCGCTCATATCCAGGGACGGAAAGTACAGTCCGTCCGGTAAGCTCTTTATTGTCCACCTCAAGCGTCGACAGCGCGGTGTTGAGTTGTACACACCAGTTGACGATTCGGTTTGATCTGTAGATGAGGCCATCTTCATGCATTTTGACGAAGCTCTCCGTCACAGCATGCGACAGGTTCGCGTCCATTGTGAATGCCTCTCGAGTCCAATCGAATGATCCTCCCATGCGCTTCAAGGTATGTGTAAGATGCTGATGGTCTGTTCAAGCGTGTCAGTGCCAGATCTCTCAAAACGACTTTCCGGACCTACATTCTTCTTTCCAGTCCATGGTACGCTCAATGAACGCCTTTCGGCCAAGATCGTATCTCGTCTTCTTTTCTCGTCGCCAGAGCATCTTCTCAACGACGCTCTGTGTCGCGATACCAGCATGATCGCAGCCTGGTAGGTATAGAGTGGTGAAGCCCTTCATGCGATGCCACCGGATCATGACATCCTGTAGTGCTGTGGCCAACGCGTGCCCGCAGTGGAGCTTTCCGGTGACGTTGGGTGGAGGAATCGGAATAACGAACTTTCCAGCTGGCTTCACCTCGCCGTTTGCCTGGAATTCAGGCTTGAAGAAGCCCTCCTTCTCCCACCAATCATCTGGCTGTAGTCAATATGCTGTGAATCATTTGGCATTCGCTTCTGAAATACTCACTCCACGCCGATTCGACGACCTTGGGAATGTATGCCTTTGTAAAAGGACTATCCAGGCTCTGCAGACGCTTCTTCTCGCCCTTGGGTGTCTCCTCGACATATTCAGGAAGTTTTTCCTCCTCCTTGCCCTTCTTCTTCTTATTTTCCCTAGGCGCACCTTCTCTCGCTGGGTCGGGTGCGGTTTGAGCCGCCTTCTTGGCCTTAAACTTTGCGTCCTTTTCGGCCTTCTTGCGCTCCTTTTCAAGTTCTTTGGCAGACTTCTCCTTCTTCTCCATACCCTTTTCGTTCTCACGACCAGGCGCCGATTGGCCAGTGCCCTCTGCATTGGCCGAGTCCAGTATGTCCTTTTTGGTGTCCTCGCTTAGAACTGGAGGCGGCGCACTATTGGGAGTGGTCTTCTCGCCCGTGACATTGTGTGAAGAGGCGTTGAGCGCCATTGTTGCGGTGGAGTAGTCGAGTGAGAGAGTGCGCTCAGCGTACAGAGGGACGCGGTTATGCGGTCGCACTGGGCTTGCGTACAGTGCAGGCAGAGAGCAGTGAAGGGAACGGCCTAGTCGAGTGTATGGAAGATGTTTTCCCCCGGTCAGACTTACGCGGGAGAGCATAAATATAACAAGTGCGGGCACTGCTGGGAGTCACAAAAGCGTTGCACCCCACCCCACCTCGGCCTGCAGGTAAGTTCACTAAAATCTGCGCACTGACGCGTTCGCACCACCACAAGGCCACCATCATCAGCTTATGGGAGACTTGCAACCTGCCTGTCCAGTCTATCCAGTCCAGCGCAACTCCTTCAACTCAAGACATAGTACACTCTTTAGCCCTCAAAAGCAAAACGTGCTCATGATAAGGAACGCTCCGCTATTCGCTTTGGCGCATACCGGTACTGCTTGGACAAACTCCTCCTAAGCGGGGCAGCCATGGGTGAACGTCAAACTGGTATGTCCGCAGCTTATATTCAAAGGGGCAAGTGCAAGAAAAGGTCAGCATAATCTGAACATCTCTCTCAATTTCTCTCAATATGTCCAGGGACAAACATCTCATCCATGCTTTCATTATCATGGGCCTATTTCATTGTTCCACTATTGTGATTATGTAGTTGCTTGCTAGGCCAATCATACCCCAACAATGAATATCCAAGCCAGTCATTTGAGATAGTTTTCGCCCCATTATGAAGCCCATGCTTTCGGTCAGCATTACTCTCCATGTCGTGCTCATAGCTTGTAGGACACGGTTGCGTAGGCTAAGCCTCGTCTGCCTGGTGCAAAGGTGTGCATAGCCTCATGTGAGCTGTGAAGTGTCGAAGCCGGTTCTTTTATACTGTTACATAACGTCTAATTACGTAAAGTGGGTATCAATCATGCCGCCGTGCTATTTTGCTGGGCAGCTTGTCGGACGGGCGAGAAGTAAGGGTGTGCCATTGCTTCCTGTGCCGTGAGTCGGTCCTAGGGCATGTTAGTATCCAGTGCGAATCGAGTGACGGCAGCCCAACGTACCTGGTGGTCGTATCTCAGTAACTTGTCCAGAAAGTCGATTGCATCGTTGCTGACGAATCGCTGGTTGTCCGCATTGATGAAGGAGTGCCAAGGCTTCTTGGGATACCTGCTAAGGATGTCATCGTACTGAGCGTCTAGCTCAATGTCGTACTTGTCGAGGTAGTCGAATAAATCCTCCGTTCCAAGCACTTTCGCGATCTTGACCAGCTGGTCAGAGTTGCTGTTACCATGGAAGAATGGTTCCCGCCTGAAGATCATGGACGCAAACATGGCACCCAATGACCACATGTCGAGCGAATAGTCGTACTCCTGGAAATCGACAAGGAGTTCGGGGCCCTTGAAATACCGCGACGCAACACGCACGTTGTATTCGGTGCCCGCGTGGTAGAATTCGGCGAGACCCCAATCAATGAGCCGTAACTGGGTGGATCAGTACTGTTTTCTACATCAAAACACCTAGAATTCCTACCTTCCGCTTCTCATGATCGATCATAACGTTGTGAGGCTTGACATCGCGGTGCATGATGCCTTTGCTGTGGCAGAAGTCGAGGGCCTTGAGCAGCTCAAAAATGTAGTACCGCACATCGTAGTCCTGGAACTTGGGGTACAAACTTCGAAAGTCGGTGTTGTTGACATATTCGAAGATCAGCGAAGGGGTCTTACTCTGTACCACAACGAGTTAGCACTCCACCCTTGGGTACGACAGTAGGGCGAGACTCGTTACCCAGTCGCCAACCCAGTCGGAACCGTCACTAACCTGGTTATCGCGCACCACGTCCAGCAGCGAGACGATGTTGGGACCACCAGAAAGATTCTGCAGGATCTTGATTTCTCGCTTTATCTTCTTCTTCTTGACCGGCTTAAGGACTTTGATGACGCATTTCTGGTAGTTGACCACGTTGATGCCCTCGAACACTTCCGAGTACTTTCCGCGGCCAATCTTGCGGACCACCTCGTAGTTTTCGAGCACACCCCAGGATATGTTGACCGAGTCGTAGTCCCAGTACGAGCGGGGCATGTTGGCGTTGACATCTGCGTAGACCCGCGCGAGGCTCGCGGCCCCGGTCGTGCTATTCAGCGCCATGGGGGGAACGAGGGTGCCTTGGGCGCGCGGAGAGGGGGCAGCTGTCTGTGCAGGAGTGAAGGCGCCGGGGAATAGGGCAGAGGGGTGGTCGAGTGGTGGTGAAGGTGGAGGTGGGGGGAAGAAGCGGACGTGGACGGAACTAGAGAGCAGGTAGGCAAGGACTGCGACCAGGCCAAAGGCAACTGCCTTGTTCCAGATGAGGCGCCGCAAGAGGCCGTCGCTATGGACACGGGGTTGCGGGTTGGTGGGCGGCGGAGAGGCTACTCGGGTATCTGTTGTTGGTTAGAGTTCCAAGGTTGTTGGTTCAGTGGAGACCCAAGCTTTTGCCTGCAGGCTGTCTGCAGTGTTCTGGCTGGCTGGCTGGCTGACAGATCACGTGTCGCGAGGGACGTAGCTTAGTAGTAGATACACCACCACGTCCATGCCAGTTGACTTGACTGCCTGACTGCCTGATTCCATGGTACATGGTACATGGTACTTTATACACTGCCGCACCGCGAACCTACCTGGTAATAGCAGTAGCCTTTTGTCGCGCTGACTTACTTGCGTCTCGCTCATCGGAGATTGCTTGTCCACTGAGTGCATACCGGTAGACGAAGGCCAGAGAAAATGTTTCACGACCTGAATGTGCCCTGGACAGATGCGACACGCGAGTTGCAGCGCACCGTCGCCTTTCTCGACGAATGTGAGAGTGTCCTGGTGGTGAGGGTAGAAAAGAAGTCGTATGCCTGTGGAGCTGACACAGTACAGTAGGATACGATGTCGTTGCGCTCACGCACACATATTCAGGGAAGCTGCCCGCCGATCTTGTATGTCCTAGAGAGTTGCCCCCCCTCCCGTTTGCCCTCCCCCTCTTCCGCGCAAACAGAGAGTGCTTGGGCGCTGGTTTCACTTGTGCAGGGGGCGTGGCCACAGCAGCCCAGCAGTCCAACAGTCCAGTTACTTACCGTGCATGTACTACAGACGTCCCCCGTACCAAACCCCCTCCCTTTCCCCACACCTGCGAGACTACGAATACTGCGGCGATGCAACATCTTCCTGACTGACTCGGCCTCCAACTTTCGCATCCCACAGTTGCAACAGCATTACGACCTGGTCGCTGCACGGCCCACAGACGAGCGGACACTGCAGCAAGCATGCCAGAGCCTCGATGTCGACATCATTTCCCTTGACCTCACCAGCAGGTTCGAAAAGCACTTCAAGTTCCCCATGATCGGCTCAGCGCTGGCACGTGGCATCAAGATCGAGTTGTGCTATAGTCAGGGTATGCTGTCAAGCGATCCCATGGCGAAGCGCAACCTGATCAGCAACGCAACACAGCTCATACGCGTCACGCGAGGACGAGGCTTGATATTTAGCTCCGAAGCCAAGAGCGTCCTGGGCATACGAGCACCAAGCGACATCATGAATCTAGCTTCAGTATGGGGTCTAGGCACCGAAAGAGGCAAAGACGGCCTGATCAAAGAACCACGGAGCGTGGTCGAATTTGCACGACTGAAGCGTCAAAGTTTCAAGGGCATCATCGACATTGTCAACGGGGGAGAGAAGCCGGTGGAAAAGCCTTTGGTAGAGGCGAAGAACAAGGCCAGCAAGAATCCAAATGGGAAGCGGCCTGGAGACTTGAGCGGCGAGAAGCCACTGTCCAAACGTCAACAAAAGGCCAATAAGATGGCGAAAACTGATGCCGGCAGCACTGCAAAGCTGCTGACTCATCGCCTTGATCCAAAGCCGAAGGAAACAACCCAATCTTGAGTCCATGTGCAGGCCAGAAAAGCAAGGATTGAAAGACGAGAATATGATACCCATTAGACACAGGCAGCCATGCACGCCTGCAACACTTTTATGAAAAGAAAATACAATGACACCCAATCCAAGAATCACAAGATCCCTGCACTCACAGTCCTGATCAACAAAATCACAAACATCAATTATCCACAATCATCACTCTACCATTTACGGAATTTCTGAAACATGAAATATATTTACTAGCAAGCAAAGCTACGAGCACTCAATGCCCACTTTGTCACCTCTCACACCAAGCCAAACAAAAGACCACAAGTTTACTCATTAAAGAATTCAAACATTTCTACATTGACGCCCTTCTTCTTTTCCGCTTTTCACAACCCAGCAGTTGCCTCGGCCGCCCTCCGCCCTAAATTCACAGTCACCCGGCTCACCAGCGCAATAGTATTGATATCAAACGGAAGCCCATTGTTGCCCAGCTGTTGCCCGGCTGGCGTCGTTGTCGGGGACTCAGGGTCCTGTGGGGGAGCAGGGGGAGCGTCGGCTGCGGCCTGACTTTGGAGAGGGACGTTCGTGGGTGTTGGGGAGGGCGTGGATGAGGACAAAAGTGCGGGTGGCGGTGGCGGTGATGGAGATGCAGCTCCAGGGTTCGAAGATGGGGGCGAGAAAGAGAAGGGAGCGTTTGTGGCTGGCGGGGGAGGGATAAAAGGGATTTCAATGGATGCAGATGTGGATGTTGTGACGACGGTGGGTGGCAGAGCAGTCGGCGTCGCGGGGGCCGACGACGCAGTATTATTCGGTGCAGAGGACGTCTCAGGATTTGGTGTCACAACTGTCTGCATCGTGCTCATGCTCATCATCGGACCTAGTTGGAAGGCTGGAGGAGGCGGTGGTGCAGCCATGGGAAATGAACCGGCTGGACATGCACATGCACAATGGCATCCTCCATTGGCGGCGGCTTGTTCGGCAGCGGAGACGTTGCCAACAATAGCTGCTGGTAGACCGGCCGCGGGGCTGGGGACGGGTGTTGCAACTGCAGCTGTGGATCTTGTCGATGTGGTGTTGAGGGCGGCGTGCGATGTAGTGCTTGTGTTTGTGCTGTCTGGGGCGCTGGGGAACGTGAAGGCAGGTGCCATGGGTGCGTGGGAGGGAGCTGGGTCTACGCCTGCTACGACGGTGACGGCTGTTGTATACGTCGTCGTGGATGTTGTCGTGCTGGTTGGTGCTGCTGGTAGTGCAGTTCCGTTCATGCTTGTCGGTGACAGGTCGAGTGCGAAACTCACGTTGAGTGCTGGTCCGGCTTCTACGATTATTGCTGCCGCCATAGTAGTAGTACTTGACGAGGTATGTTCTGCTGCCACTGCGGCACTCGATGAGTCTGTAGCATTTGTCGAGGATGCAATTCCGCCTCCCTTTGCTTCTGGATAAGGTCCTTTTCCAGCTTCCACAGTGACCGCCGCTACGGAGGTATGGTTCATCGCCGCAGAAATTGACTCAGAAGCAGGAATTATTGGCGTCGCTTCCACGGCCTTGGCTGGCTCTGGGGAAGAAGCCTATATTGCTGTATTAGTGATGACCGCCGCTTCTCGCGATTTGGACATACTGTAGCGTCGAGTCCTTCAACAGAAGGTGCAGTTGACTCGGCTTTTGCTGTTGGTTTCGAGTTTTCGATCGCAGCTGTGCTATTCTGCTTCTCGGCCGCTATGTCAGGATGCGGTTCTGGTGCTATGGGTGGCGTGGGTTTCTCTCGTGTCGAGCGTAATACTTCTGGCAGGGTAGTCTCCGGTATCGATGCTTCTTCGGGTTCATGTTGCTTTCCAGGCAATTCGACGACCGCTGTGGGTAGCATATGAGCATTTTCCTCGAGTATCAGAGCATCGCCACTGCTAGTTTTGGCATCGCCCTGGCCTTGCTCTGCTGGTGTACTTTGGTTACGGTAGACGCCTTGACTCTGTCCGTCCACTCCAGCCGTGCCATCGTGTCCTTTGCTCTGCCCTTTGGCTTTGCTTCCATCATCTTCACTATCTGCAACACTGTCGGCCAACGGGTGGACATCCAGTCCAGCATCTGGGGCTCGTCGAGCGGCAATGTTCTCAGAATCAAATCCGCTGGCCTTCGTGGTATCCTCAGGATTACGGTCGACACCAGATATCAGGTTTTCGATTCTCTTTCCTCGGACCCTTGTATTGGTATTGATGTTATGAAGGTCGAGGGTTGCGTTGACAGCCACCTATGGGAATCAGTACATGCAAGAAGTACCAAGAGGTAGTTGCGTACTGTACTCATCAGCAATAGGGCTGACAGCCATGAAGCCTTGATGCGTCGCATGGTGAAGATCAACAACACAGATGGCTACTGAAGTGAAGCGAGAAAGTTCAAACAGTAAAGTATTAGTCGATCTAGAGTCTAGTCGCAGCGCAGCTGTCGAAGATCCGTTATGCGTGTCACAGACATGCGTGCACACTCTCGACACTGCACAGCAGAAATCACAGTCGCAAAGATAAGAAACGAAAAAAGGCGGGTCGCAAAAGGGAAGCAGGAGAACGTGTAGTTCAGATCAAACGAGTGAAGGCGACCAAACCTCTCAGAGCTCTCTTGACCTGAGGCAGCGACTACCGCTACTTAATGGATCCGACGCGCTCGCGCATACGACCCGCCGGTCCCTGTTTCCGAGCCATGTGTTGGGGGTTTGAGGGGTTTCGAGATCATCAGTGGTTGAAGCCATTTGACCACCTCTTCAGAATTTGTCTCATGGGCTGCGGGGGGAAGCGACTACGTGTAGCCTGGTGGAAACATACAGAAAACGGAGGAATAGAACGATACACATTTCGCTTCTTTAATAACACTGGGCACGGAGGTGGTGCCTACTGTGAACAACGCAACGCGTGCATATCTCGGTCGATAGGATCAGAGGAGATCGTGTTACGGCAAGTCAAACCTCGCGATGGTATGGCCAGGCGCTGTGAAGGTAGGATGCGAGACGTCTTGTGCATGAGCTGGCGACTTTCTCACACTTGGTGAGTTTCAGCAAGGCTTGATTGCCCATCCTTTCTTCCTTGGAATTCCCACATCTTCACTCGTCCGCCACGATTTCCATTGCGGACCAAAGATCTCGTGTCGTGATCATACTGTACATGTGCCGTATGCTGACTTGTCCATATCATCATGTACGTGCAGACTCGGCTATAAATTCACCGATGAGAGGCTGTTTGACTTGGTCACATCCGGGGCGGTGTAGGGCTGAGAGATCCCAGTCCCAAGTCTGCTGCTAGCGGATCGCACCGTAAGCCCCAGATCCCGATGCATTACATCATCATCTACCCGACCATGGGGAAAGTCGCACGCATAGCTCGTAAGCATAAGCACTGCCTGGAATCGGAATCGGAGCAACTCATAGTCCCTCGACTACGTAGCTTTGGGCTCCTACGGATGCGTGTGTGACGACTGAAGGTTTGCATATGGAATTGTATATGTCTGGAGCTGTCCCGGCCATCCCTTGCAACACCCGACCTTCACTCCTAACTGTTGGAGGAGTTTTCGAGTAGGAAGCAGCATCGCCAGAATGGGCGCCGTTCACGTCCTTGACGACTATTACCTCGCAATCACGCTGCTCATCACCATTGGATACCAGCTCTTCTTCTTCGCAATCGCCTTCAGCTTCAAATTCGATAAATTGACCGATTTCGCCGGCGGCACCAATTTTGTGGTCCTTGCCATTCTTACACTCGCATTCAGCGAAAACAGAGGCGATGCGCGCAATATTGTGGTCTCCATGTTCATCATCGCCTGGGGTGCGAGATTGAGTGGATTCCTACTCTTCAGGATCCTGAAAACGGGCAAAGATGACCGCTTCGACGACAAGCGCGATAAGTTCTGGTCTTTCTTGGGCTTCTGGGTATTGTACGTTCTTTGGAATTCGCCGGGAAGAAGCATGTGCTAATCATTTTGTCACAGTCAAATGTTTTGGGTGTGGACTGTTTCGCTGCCAGTGACGATCCTCAATTCGCCCAATGTGACGCGCTTTCCTCAACCGAGCTTTGGCACAGGTCGCGACATTGCGGGTGTGGTGCTGTGGTCTATTGGCTTCATCATGGAAAGTGTCTCGGATATTCAGAAATACAGGTTCCGCAGCGCTCACGGAAGTGATGGCGCGGTCTGTGATGTTGGTTTCTTCGCATGGACGAGGCACCCCAACTACTTTGGGGAGATCATCATTCAATTCGGTAAAGCATAATTGAGGAAATGTGAATGGAAAAATAGGCTAACGATTTCCACAAGGTATCTTCACCATCGCCGTCTCGCCAGCAGCAGAAGGCTACGTAACTGGCGGTGCCCATTCGGCGCTCTACGCCTCAATCCTCGGTGCCTTCTTCCTCACCACGCTACTCATGTTTGTGTCTGGCCTGACGCTACAGGAGCGTCCCGGAGCGAAGAAGAGATACGAAAAGGGCAACAACTGGCCGGCCTACGAGAAGTATTTGCACCGAACCAGTATCCTCATTCCGTTCCCGCCTCAACTGTACGCAAGGATGCCAGTCTTTTTGAAACGGACCATATTTTTGGAATTCCCAATCTATGTGTTTGATCCTGCGAAACATGCGGATCAGGATAAGGTTAGGGCTAGAGAAGCGGAAGAAGGGCAGACTAGGAGGAGTGATGAAGAGGGTCTCAGGTCCTGAGAGTCTGAGACGTAATTCTTGTGGGCAGTTGGTAGTGATTGGTCATGACAGATGATACCCTCCCTTTTCTGTTTGATGATCATGTTTAATCGATCAGTGTAATTTATGCATAAAGCGTTGTAGCATGGCTTAGACTATGAGTTGGTGTATGATAATTGAGATTTCCATACAGCACCTGTACTATATTGATTCGTTTCCTATCAGCTCCATTGTAACTCTTCCTGGGTCAAATCGAAGATGACAATATTAAGATGGGGACCCGGAACTTGCTCATTCAATCTCTGGTACTGGAATTCAAGTGACAAGGGAAGTTCTGATATTATTATGACGAAGAAAAATAGTATGCCCCAGTGGATATCGTTGTGTGCCATCCAGAACTCCTGCGCTAGTTAAACGCCTGCGCCTCTTAATCGACCCATGCATGTTTTTCTCAATCTATCAAGACATGTCCTTCCAATCACCCCAGATGATCTGATTTTCGTATCTCTTCATGAGATAACCTGTCGGGTCGTCCCCTTTGACGTGAGCCCACGCGCCTGCAAAGTGTAAAACGAACATGCCGTGCTCCCAGACTCGGTGCGAATCGTCGAAGCAAGCGATCTCGGACGGGAAGGCGTTCAGCTTCCACTGTGGCACTACGTGCACCCTGCTTGCAGATACTTTGTCTTCCTTCATCAGCTTGACTGTCGAGTCTTGCTCACTCATGTTGATATGTTCCTCCTTTGCCTTGTCATGTATGGCCCAGGAGTCGTGGATGAACTGGAGAGACCTTTCGTGCCCTCGAACTAGGAACGATCCCGCGTTAAACCCATTACAATCGTGGGTAAAGAGATAGTCAATCTCGTCCGGATTCGTCGCATTGCGAAGTGCTTCGTCGATGATGTCGGTGAGTTTGACATCGGTGTTTGTGATGATGGTATCGAAGTCGACCCACCAAATCCAGTCATATTTGCCAGACTTGATAAGCCTCTCGGCCATGTCAAATTTCCAGAACACAACAGCACGGTCCGTATGCGATTCGTACTCCATGATGAAATCGTAGCCATGGCGACGCGTATAGTCTATCAAGTCTTGTATTAGCGTGCGACCAATGTGCGACCACGGAGAGCCTGAACCCACGAGCCTTGTTTTTGAGTGAGAGATAGAGATATGATCTCTGTTCCGTGACAAACGTCATGACGGCAATACGGGGCAGCGCATCCTTTGCTGGCTCTGGTGGCGGGGCGGCAGACGGCTCATGACTTGGGCCTTGACATAGCTGCCATCCGAAGAAGGCCAGGAACAGGAGGGCCAGGACCAGCGACGGCGGGATTTTCAACGATCGCAAGAGCATTCTGCCAGGTATGCAGGAATGTCGCAGATTGCTACTCCCACCGAGAGGAAGTAAGAAAGGAAAACGTGTGCGAGGGGGGCATCTGGGAGACTGGGCTACAGGACCATGGTACTGAACCAGTGGTCACTGGCCAGTGGTGGCACTGCGAAAGCCAAGCATGGGAGAGAGATGTGGACGGGATTGGCCCGGTTCATATGTGTGTGTGTGCGTATGTGTGCAGAAGATGGGCCAAGGCTGCTGCTTCGGACTCTTGGGTGGAGCCGACGCAACTGCGGACGACTCTACTCTAATCCACGTACATAGCAGCCGTCAGCGTGCGAGTGAGGGTCATGCAATGAAGTGATAGAAGATTGTACGACTATTCTCTTAGGCGAGGCGGTAAGGTGGAGAAAATGCAGTGCTGGGGGAAGATCTGTTGTGGGAAGCCTAATGCAGGGGTTGTCATAGTCTAGGTAAGGGGTCTAAGGGACAATGAGCTATGGGCTCTCTAGTGGGGCCGCTGGGCTAGAATGCGGACCCCAGCATCATCATCATCATCATCATCATCACCATCATCACGTTAATTTCACCATCACGTTAATTTCACCATCACGTTCACGTTCACCAGCCACCTCGGTTTGCGCCTGAACATATGGCTTCGGCGCTGAACCCATAGCTTCCTCCTTTCTATGTTGTCTTTGTTATTGTCCTACTAGTGGTTGTGATCGTCATCAATACGCACACACCCCACAAACCCCTTCCTGTCCCCCCCACCTACAATTGCATCATCTGTCATGTCTGGCTTTAGAGGAAGAGGGCGAGGGCGTGGCGGTGGTGCTGCTGCTACAGGACCACCAAAGGGACTCTTCATCAACGGGATATGGCATTGTGATTGCAATCCACGTGAGCCTGCAATCCATTTCGAGACGAAAAAGGCTGGCCCAAATAAAGGAAGATGGTGTAAGATATCAATCACAACACACAAACTTTTTATATCACATCCAAGTCCTGACACCTTCCAGTCCGCTCCTGCCAGAAACCAGACGGCGCACGATGTGGCTTCTTTCTTTGGGATGACCAAGCACAACCGCGTGAGCAGGCAGTCCTTATGAACAACTCTCGCACCGAGCCAAGCCCCATCACACCCTCGAAACGGCAGCAATCCCCTCCTCCGCCGTATACAGTGGAAATAAATCCTTCAGCATCGAATAGTCGCAAACGCCCTCGCTCCGACCGTAATCAATCAGACGAATATGGACTCGAGCAAGCCGATGATGACTTCAATACCGAGCTGAACCAAGTCATGACCGAGGTGGAAACTCCCAACAAAGCCGCCAAGACGTCAAGTGTCGCTACACCAAGCAGGCGCAAACTTCCATGGCAGCCGCATGGTAGCTCACACGGATTACAAACACCTCAGACAGATCGCAAAGCCTCTGGTGATGCGTCTGCCTTCAGCAAGTCAATTGCAGGCAGGTCATTGTTTACTCCGTCCGAAGCAGACGAGAGTGATTCTCATCAGGCAGCCACATCTGTATTGTCCTGCGAAACACCGACGCCTGTCCGTTTCAAGAATGTTGGTGTCGAAGATTTGGTTGGCGAGGTGCTTGCCCTTTTGCGAGAAAGTAACACTCAGCTTAAATCTCACACAGAGAGCGACATTAGGGCCCTTCTAGCAAAGCACTCAAAGAGCGCCGAGGGTTACAAAAGGGGCCGTGATGTCCTCAGGACAACAATCAAAGCAAAAGATGCGAAAATTACAGAACTGAATTTCCGCATCAATACTCTTGAGGCTGAGTTAGAAGCAGAGAAAGCAATGGTGAAGCATCTTCAATGGGAAGCCCAAGGCGATGTTCCAAACACTTGAGATCCATGCTCAATCGGACATCAGCCATGTTCACTCACTCACTCACTCACCCCAGTGGTAAAATATCACAGCACATGTGCGGGTTGATACTAGCGCAAGTAATTTGTCAAGAATATTGTGTCTGCAGGTCAGCAAGTGATCTGCAATACGTTCAAGTACGATCCGAGGACAAACCTCACGAGTCCGTTCCATCGAAGTGTTGCAGCAGATCGAGTACGAGGACAGCCCGTACCTACCTCAACAGAATCGATCATTCACAGGTCATATCCAAGACAGGACGTCTGACACGATACGGCTGGCGATGTGGCATTCTTGAAATAATTCGACCACAAATGTGCTGATGATTCGTGGTCGAGCGCAAGGAGTTACTGCGGTAATTTGCATCGAGCCAAATGTTTCAAAATCGCAATAGCATTATTTACAGCACGAATGACGACATTCTACATCGGTCTCTGTTCGTAGATGGCCCTATTAACTTGGTACGGAGGAGCGCGTAGGATGGATGCCAAGATACCTGCCCAGACTTACTGAACGGGATCCGGCACGAGCGTGAAGATTGATTAGCCGAATGGCATCCTGCGAGAAGTGGTGGCATGTCATATGACCATGGGTTTAGCGTCGGGCGACTTGGGCTTTACTCTGAGTGGTTAGAATATCCCTGTAGGTTCAAGTCTACGTTATAGCGGCAAATTTTTATAGTTATATAAACTAGCCTATAGTTAAGTATAAATTAGGGTAATTTAAGCAAGTAAATATAGTTTTTATTACTATCTTTTTTAAATATATTCTAAACCTATTCTTAATAATATATAGGCGTTCCTAAATACTATACTAGAGTTTAGTATAGTAGTACTAGATAATATATCTAAACTAGATAGTAATATTAGAGATAAATTTAGGTAACTATATAAAGTGCTAGAGGAGGATAGTAGTAGTAGTATTAAGGAAGTAAGTAAAAGTAAATAGAATAAGTTTAGAATAGGTTAGTAACACGTTATAGGGGCATAATATATACCTTACTTATAGTAATAGTTAAGGACTACTACTTATACTAGTAATTATTAAGTATACAGCTATTCTCCTAGCATACCCTTAATTATATAGCTAAGGGTATAGGTATATAATACTAGTTTAGTAATATAAAGATAGCTCTTACCTAATAAGAGAAGAGGTGCTTATACAGGCTATATAGGTAACATATTAAGAACACGTTCTTAAATTATTCTAATTCTAGCAGGTATAATACTCCTACTAGTCTATCTATCTTAATAGGCCTATAACTTTACTATTCTTTAATAGCTAGCTAGTAAGCTAGTATAAATACTAATACTCTAGGGTAAAAGTATATAAGTATCTTAAGAATATATTATAAATATATTCTTATTATATTATTAATAATATATTATATAATTAGATCTAAACCTTAAAAAGTATAGTACCTAAGAAAATTCTATAAAGAGAACTATAAATAAGAAGCTATTATTATAGCCTTATTAAGCGCTTCTCTTTAAGGATTTATAAGGACTACTAGGTGTCTTATTATCCTATAATAAGGACTATAGTAAATTAGGTAGGGAGTAAAACTTAAATATATTTAAAATATATTAATAATAAGTTAGTAAATTATAGAATAGGCTTAACTATATATTAGCTATTAGAACTATAGCCTAATATCTACTACTAGGAAAAAATATTATTTTAGTTAGGTACTACTAGAGGTAGACTCTATATATCTACAAGGTCTTCTAACTAGGGAGATATTAAATCTTTCTAGTAGTCCTGCTTTATATTCTATAGTTAAGCTATAGTTAAGCTAGATAAAGAAGTGTAGTAGGTATATTGTAACCTATTCCTAATATATTCCTAATATATTCTAGGCGTTAATTATCTATAAGGGCAAGGATCTCTATTTAAAATCCTATATAAAGTTACCTTCTAAGTAATTATACTAATAGATATAGTAGTAATACCTTTTTTTACTATTATTTCTTTTAGTATATATATATATATACCTCCTCCTCCCTTAACACTATCTAATAGTAATATTAAGGAAGTAGTAAAGGTGTTATAGCCTATGCTTACTCTGCAGCTTATATAATATAAGTTATTTGCAACCTATTATAAATATATTTCTAACTTATTATAGCCTAGTTCCTAAACTTAACCTAGCTCTAAACCTATCTCTAACTTAAAGGTTTCTATTCTATTAAAGAAATATATATTAGCTTTATAAATAAAGATAAAATCTTGCGTATTATAAAGCGTGAAAAGCTTCTATAGTTCCTATTTAAGAGTAGCCTTAGAGGAGTATACTATAAGTAGAGGATAAAGTATTAGGATCCTAAAACTATATATAGTATAAGAGAACAGGTTTAGAATATATTACTAATACGTTACTATAGGTATATATATAGCAAATCTTTATATTAAGCTTAGGTAACTTAATTATTTACCTTTTTAAAGAGTAGGTATTAATTCTATTAAATTAAGATATGTTCTAGATAGATATATTATATAAGAGGTTATATAGGGTATAGGTAGAGATTCTAATAGTAATCTTCTACCTATAGGAAAAGAAGTATATATATTAAGAATAGGTTTATAATACGTTTCTAATATATTATAGTTATTATACTTAGCTAAATTATTATAGATAAGGATATAACTAAGATATATTAAGTTGCTATTACTAACTTCTTTTAGAAGTGTAAAGCACTTATAAAAAGATAAGTGTTATAGAGGTATATTTACTTATAGGGATTCTATAGGACTACTATTAATATATATAATAAGTAGATAATAGGCAAGTTTTATAGCGCACTATAACCTGTTTGTAACGTGTTTCTAACTTATTTCTAGGACTTAGGCGCTATCTCTAGTTAATTAATCCCTATAAGCGTAACTAGCACTAGCAACTTTAATCTTGTATAAGATTTTATTAAGTATATCTATAAAGAAGTATTTATAAAGTATATAAAAGAGAGCTAGATAATACTACCTCTTTATATCTAAGTAAATTACTATAGGTATTAATAGTAGAGGAATACTTTTAGCTTACTAACCTCCTCTTATATAAGTAAACATATTCTAAACCTATTCTAAACGTGTTCCTAACTTATTCTTATATAATTAGAACACAAACCCTCTAAAGATACCTAAAACTAGGCAATCTATAAAAAAAACCTAGTAATTGCTACTAGGATTATATAATACTATAGTAAAATATTAAAAGAGGTATAGGAAAAACTAGAATCTTATTTAAATATAGCTAAGTAGGTAGGCTAGAAAGGATATAAAACTAGTAAGCATGTAAGTATTCTTAAGGCTACTTAGAAGTAAGTTTATAACCTATTCTTAACCTATTAGAATTATATAAGTAATATTATATAGTGCACACTAGATAGATCTATAGGATATAAAAGAGTTTAAAGCCTAGAGCAAGTTTAGAATATACTATAACTATAGAACTCCTAATAGGCTTAAGCAAAGGTACCTTAAAAAGCTTTAAAGGGGAGAAAGTAAGTCTTACGCTAGTATTATATATATTTACTAATTAAAATATATTTAGAATATATTTAAAATATATCCTATAATAATAATAATACTCTAGATAATAATAAAGCAAGTCTTACTATATCTAACTTAACTAGATATATCTTAGTCCTAATAAGAAATAAAAGAGTACGCTTAAAAGCCTAAAGCTAGAGGGTAAGTAGTAGAGTAGTATTAGAAAGAAGTTTACTAGCCCCTTTTCTATCTTCTCTACTACTAGGCTCTTCTCCTCTACTAATAGTAACCTAAAGGTATGCTTTGCAAAACACGTTTATAATATATTCCTAACTTATTATTAGTCTATAACTATAAACTTTATAATAAAAGGCTCTTCTTAGTAATTAGGCTCTAAAGGAGAGAAAAGAAAAGCTAGAGGTAGATAAGGAAGAACTTATATAGAAAAAGGCACTATTTAAATTATAAAAGGTATAGTTTAAACTTAAGAAAGAGATAGCTACTTTTTATATAAGGTAGGGTTAGTCTATAAATATAATAACTAGTTCCTAACTAGTTCTTAATATATTCTAGTCTATTATATAAGTATATATAAGTAGATAAATATATATTCTTTCTTCTTCTCTTTCTTCTTCTTTCTTCTTACACTCTATAAGAACTTTTTATATTTAAGAGTTTAATACTATTTTACTATCTATCTTTCCTAATATTATTAGATATAACTAGTTAATATAGTCTATAAAGATCTTTTAAAGTTAGTATATAATAGAACGCGTTAGGAATAAGTTATAAACTTGTTCTAATACTAAGTAGGATTTATACTAGTAATATATTAAGCTTAAGTTACTTCTATCTAATACTAAGGTATTCTCTCCTATAATATCCTACCTAAATAATAGGTGTATAGTATTTCCTAGCAAGCTTTTCTACTAGGCTATTTAGGCTAGATTAGGGGTATAGGAACTTTATAGAGTATATATATATGTAAGTTAGAACATATTTATAATATATTAATAACTATTTTAGTATTACTTCTCTAATAGAGGTAATCTTATCTACTACCTTAAGAGGTATTATCCTAAGGTTTAAATAGCCCTAGTAAACTATAGTAGAACTACAATACAAGGTATTATAGAAGTAAGGATCTTTTATAGGAGCTTAATAGTAAATACTTAAGAATATATTCTAAACACGTTAATAATATATTCTCTGCTAGTAGAGTAGACTATACTAAGTGCCTCCTCTAAGGTTTAAGAACCCTCTAAGATAGCTAGTCTATAATAAGAAGTGGTAGCTAGAGTAGAGGCTAAAGAGGAAGTAGAGAGTAAAGAAGAGGAGTAAATAGTTGCTCCCCTTTACACTGTGAATAATATTTAGTAAAAGTAGTAAAAAGGAGATATAAGTCTAGTCTCTTAAAACACGTTTAGAATATATTAATAATACGTTATAGCTAGACACCTATAAATACTAGATTCTTCTTTAATCTAAGGGACTGCTAGAGCTTTATAATACCTATAAAAGTTAAAAGAAAAAGTTATATACTATTAAAGGACCCTATAAAAGTAAATAGTACTTTACTTTTAGTAGATAGAAAAAAAAAGAGAAGAGTAGAGAGTTTATTTTAGTAATTACTACTACCCCTTTAGGTTATATACTATTATATATTATTTATTAGAACCTATTCTTAATATATTCTTAACGTGTTCCTACTTATTACTATTATTATCTCCCTCCCCCTCTCTAGTATCTTCTCTATCCTCCCTATCCTCCCTAGGCTCTATAAAAGTATACTGCAAGTGGAACTAGGTAGTATTCTAGTAGGAATTAGCAAGGTCTATACTAGTATTAAAGTAATAGTCTTAAAATATATTAGGAATAGGTTAATAATATATTATAAATAACTTACTATAGCTAGGATAATTATAAGTGTAGATAGTATAAGGAACCTAATAACCTTAAATCCTTAGTAGGGTAGATATAGTAATAAAGTTAAGCTATAATAAGTTAGTAATATATTTTTAATAGGTTCTTATAGGCTATACCTTATTACTATTATAGCTACTATAAGTCTTCTTCTAAATTATATTTAGGAGGGTATTAGTATTTATAGGGGGGCCTATAGTAGCTACTAGCTAGGCTTAGAGAACTTCTATAAAATACGTTAGTAATAAGTTTTAAATATATTCTAAATAACTTATAGTAAGGAGTATTCTAGTAATTATATATAACCTTTATATAGAAGTCTATATATATTAGTATAATAAGTTAAGAATAGGTTAATAATATATTTACTCTTTACCTTATAGACCTTTATTATAGAGGGCTAGCTAGTCTTCTTAACCCTACTAACCTTATAGTAGGCTATATTAAGCCTATAATCTTTTTTAGCATAGGTATATAAAGTGCCCCTAGTACCTAGAATAGCCTAAGAATATTAGAACCTATTTAGAATATATTTAGAACCTATTCTTACTCTATATAAGGTGCCCTTATTATTAATCTTAGTATAGTAGTAGCACTCTCTACTCTCTATCTTAACTACCCTATTAGGGCTAACTATAGGCTATACCCTAATATTATCTAGGATATAGCTAAGGGCAAGGTACTATTAATAGTGCTTCTATAACCTATTAAGAATATATTCTAAATATATTTTAATCTACTTATATAGGATATAAGGGATATATTAGTAATAGGTATAGTAGTAGTAGCTTATAGTATTACTAGTATAGAATATATTTAGAATAGGTTTAGAATACGTTATAAAATCTTATAGTATAATATTTAGTTAACCTTGCTTAGCTAGCTACTGGGGCGACGCTTTGTTACCGATAACAGCCGAACCCTATGCTAAATACAAGTTCACGCAGCGCTAATTCCATGGTCATATGAACTGCGCCCTCCTGCGAGAACAGGCTGACGTGTGCCAGGGCTCCGCCGAACGAATGTTGATCCACATGGCGCAGCGGACCTTGGCATTGAACCATGACTTTTTGCGATTTCCTCGAACCAAAGTGACGGTATTCTCGGGGTTCATCACGCCATGGGATCTTCCTGCAAGCTTTGCTTGCTTTTAAGTGGAAACCGCGCCGTTCTACTACGCCATTCCAAGCGTTGAAACTGACCCATGAGATGTTGGACTTGTGCACCGAACTGGATACCAACAACATCCAACATAGAGATGAACGCACATCATGAATCCTGTACTAGAGGCGCAATGGCTTGGCAAGCATTAGTGGAATATTAGATACAATACAAGAGACCCTGAGCTGCATGGTACCTAATCCATCGAGGTCCAATCCTCTTCCTGTCACTTGTATCTTGCTACTCGGGCCATAGTCTGCCATCATGGGTGTCAAGACCTTCATTGTAAAGATTGGCAACTACGTTGCGCCGCCCCCAGCCAAGTCTGATGATGGTCGAGATCAGTGGCCTTCGAGGACAGCCTTTCTACTAGCTGCTATGGGTGGCTGTGCCGGGCAAGGCAACCTCTTGCGCTATCCTTCGGTACTATACAACAATCACGGTCTACAATGGTTCATTCCGTATCTATTGGCCGTGTTCCTCATTGCCATCCCCTCTCTCATATTAGAAGTCTCGATAGGCCAAGCATATAGAGGTGGCACTGTGATTGCATTCAACAATGTAAATAGAAGGCTGAAAGGCGTTGGCCTTGGGCCTGTCATCGTCAGTTGTATGTGGCTTCTTCTGCGCCTGGACAGATTCTTCTTTTTTGTCCCTTCCTCCCGCTCACAAACAAGAAACTTGGTGCATAGCACACTTTGCTAACTTGACAAAGTTCTCGTAGTCCAATACTTCACAGTCAACTTGGCTTGGATAGCAAGCTATTTCAGGCACAGTTTTACCAGTCCACTGCCCTGGGCTGGTCGAATTGAAGATTTTTACTGGAACGATGTTCTCAGAGTTGGCAACATCACTGAAGGCGCATTGTCCCCTGGTGGGAATTCCGTTTTATCATTTACTGGATATCCCGCCAGAAGCCTTATCGGAGAGACTGTTGGGTGGAGCATTTTCGTGTGGTTTCTTATCTGGTTCTCCATTTTCCGTGGAGTCGGCACCACTGGACGCGTCGTCTACTTCACGATGGGCTTGCCTATTGTCACCACAATCATATTTGTTGGTCGAGCATTGTCCCTTGAAAATGCAAGCGAAGGCGTGGCTTTGGTATGGCGGACCTGGCGTAGCGATCAACTTGCCTCGGGAACCGTCTGGCAGACTGCTGTTGGCCAGGTCTTCTTCTCGACTGGTATCGGCTTCGGCTACTTCACAACCTATGCGAGTTACAACCAGAAGCACGCAAACGCAGTTATGGATGCTGTCCTTATCTGTGGCAGCAACGTCATCTTCGAGAACTTTGCAGCGTTTGCCGTTTTTGGCGTTGTGGGATATCTTCGCAGATGGCCTGCTCCCGACGTTCGTCTTGGGGCATTTGTTGTTGGATTCATCACCTTGCCGGAAGCCGTACTGCAGATGCCGGCCGCCAACTTCTGGGCTGTGCTGCTATTCTTCACCCTCATTGTTCTCGGCTTTAGCTCTGCATTCGTCATGCTGGACGTTGTCGTCACTCTCATCTGCGATTCCGGCATGACCAAAGCTTCGCGACCCAAAGTGGTCACAGCCCTCACGATATTCTCTTTCTTGCTTTGTCTTCCGTATTGCACGGAGTTTGGTTACTACCTATTGGATGGAGTTGACCGTTGGGTCAACAACGTGGCTCTGATCTTCGTTGTCTGGAGCGAAGTTTCCAGCGCTACTACCGTGTATCGATGGACAGATATTATCGACCAAACCGGGCTCAGTTCGTTCGTCGTGTACAACACAGGATTCTTCGGTGGCCAAATGCTTGGTATTAGCCTGGCACACGGTATCAGCAGCCCTGGAATTGGTGCAGGCGCAGGCATCGGGTTTTACATACTGTGTTCTATCGTTGCTACAATAATCGCACGAACGCCCGAAGCGCCTGCAGCTCGTTTTTGGAATCATACCGCCGTAGCACGTAGGTTTTGGTTCCTTGCATTTTATTCGGTAAGTAATCGATACCCCCAGCACTCCTGACTGCAACCCAAGCAACAAGCTAAGATGAGTTCAAGGGTAATCAACTCCGTCGCGATCTCAACGTCATTGTGGGCCAAGGAAAGAATTGGAAGATCCCTGCGTTCCTACCTGTGCTCCTACGATACCTGAGCGGCCCTGTGCTTGCCATTATCTTCTCCTTTGCCTTCCCTGAGTTCCACACGCTAAGATTCGACCCCATGATGATTACTGGGTTCATCTTGTCGATCCTCACCATGATTTTCATCATTCTAGGTTTTGTCATGCCGAGATACTATGATGCTTTCATTCCCATCGGACGAAGGGACGAGGGTACTGAGCCCACGGTCGCGACTGAGACAAAGGGCGAGCTTGCTGGCAAACCTATACGTGATGTGGTCAACGCTGAGGGTGGCCTTGCAGCAGTGGACCGATCCGCGTCAGACCAGCACAGCTTGGATGAGGGCAAGGACTATCAGGGTAGATGCACAAGTGGAAGCGTACTGAAATGATGCACGTTGGAAGACAGAAAGTTCCTTGCTTTACACTGTCCTTGGCTGAGTCAAAGTTCCTTACTGGGGGGTCTATCGCTAGCCATCAATCCTCTGTTATTCTGACGTACGATGATATGGCAAATGAGAAGCAAGCTGCAACTCAGCCGTAATCGCATATTCACACGCTAATCTACACTGACCGATCACAAACTCTTGCAGACAGTGGAGATTTTGCACTTGATGGTTTCGCATCAGTAGCCTTGTTGGATAAAAGCTCAGATGACCATCTTGGCTTTTCATTTACTTCCGGCAAAAAAGAACATATTCAAATCTTCATGGTTTTCCAAAAGCGGTTCCAGCGAATTTACACAATCTGTAGTCATGCTTACCGGGCATTATACTGACCCCTGCTAACGAAGCACCACTCCTCTTGAGGCTGGCGCCTTTGGGTTTGTGCACCCGAATACACCTCCAAGTAAATTTCTGGTGGAGCATATACGCTCCCTGCAATACATGCCCAAGCCTCGAACCAGTCTTCTTCGTTGCATCGCGCCAGGATTTATAGTGCGGCAGTCGCGCCCCGCAATCTATGTCACACCCAGCTTGTGACGATCCGCATGCATATGTCGGTATTTCCCAGATTACATCGATAAGTCCTCATACTATGCCCACGGTCATCGGCCCTATCAAAGCGTAAAAGGTAGCCAGGTCTGGTGGAAGCGAGAAGCTTATTTTGACAGAGGCCTTCCGCATGGGTACAAAACCGTCCACTGGCAACGCACGGTACTAGCGATCAACACTGTGAAGCTAGAAATCGAGTCACTCTTGCGTCGTGCAAGCTTGTCTGGTACATTGCGCATGCTGCCAGCAGGCAAGTATTTGATGACAGAAAAATCAGATTGCGCTGCTTGTGCGGACAAACGCAAACGCGACGACCCACAGAAAATTGGGCGATGCGCCAAATGTGCGCCGCCACTGGAGTGACTTGTGCCAAAGAAGGAGAAGTGAGAAATGCGAAATTGGTTCTTTTCTCTTGCAGAATATACTGGAAACGTGTTATGACTTCATTCTGCTGGTTCAAGTATTCCTGGTGAGACGCTGTGTTGTTTCCTTCCTCCATCTGCGCGCCCAGTCACTTCCCAAATTACTTTGATTGCATGACGACAGCCGCTGGCCACATCCCAAACTTGTACTCACTTTATCCATGATCCAAAACAACAACCCGTACACAACAATCAGCAAAGCCGGGAACCGAGATTTTTTTGCACGACAGGCTACATACCCTCGAGACCTGATCGCTATGTCACATGCCACATCTAGATTGCGCGATCCGCAACAGGAAACCATCACTACCACCTTTTTCATATCCAATCTACATTGCCCATCATGTGTGGAGGCAATCAAGATATCTTTAAGCGCACTCGTACCCACACCTCAGAACATTGTTGTCTCTATAGTGTCGCATTCCGTTGTCGTAACCCACTCCGCATTCCTGGCCCTCAACACTATATCCGAATCGCTCGAGATTTTTGGGTTCGAAGTACACAGTATCTTTCAGAACAACAAGGCCGTTCAGCATCCTGTCGAGGTGAAGAATCAAGAGACACAGGGAAAAGAGTGGCATTCGAGTCTGGAGCGCGCAGTGTCGAGCTGGATCCATCCTAAGGGGCTGGAGAACACGAGTGACAAAAGGCGTAAGAAGGAATTACACCTTTGAGCAATGCTTTGAATGTAAGAGAAAAAATGGATGAATTCCTCTTTGAAATCAATTGCT